TTGTCGTAGTAGTAGTAGTAGTGGTAGTAGTACACTCTTCGAGCGCGGGTTATCCAGGAGCAGCTAGTACTAGCTAGCGTGTGGAGGCATGTCGCAAGTGTCTACATACTATACGTTGAAACATTAGGTGTGCATGTACATATAAATACGATTTGAATTTGACACATATACATATGTATATATATATATATCCTCACATTCGCACGCATGCTTGCATGCATACATGCAAATGGAGGCTTCGGGCTGGGCTGGGTCTTCTGCAGGGTTTCGAGTCTGGGGTTGCCTCAGGCGGCGGATGCTTGCCAGTTGCTCTACGGGGAGGTGTGGCGGCCTGCCTTTGGGCGCTGTTGGGGGGACTCCCAAGTTGGGACAGGGATCAACATAATTTGACCCCAGCGTATATGGGCTTACATTTATGAGGCTCCTCACTCCCTAACCCCCTAAACCCCTAAACCCCTCTAAACCCCTAAACCCGAAACCCCTAAAGCCAAAAACCTAAACCCCTCAACCCCTGATAAAACAAGACCCGGAAACCTGAGGCCGGAACGTGGTTTTGTTCCACGAGTCCACCTCAGCGAAGTCGGAGTCGGGGTTGCTTTTTAGGTGTCGTTTTCGTGTGCATGGGCAGAGCCCAAGCCCTGAATGAGAAGACATGCAACTTCTAGACTAAGGCCAAAGGCTAAGAGGAAACTCCTGACCCTAAACCCCTGAACCTCAAAACCTAAGCCTCACCCAAGCCCTAAGCCTAAGACCTAAACCCTACGCCCTACGCCTCATCAAAGCCTGAAACAATACCAAGTTTAGGTCTTGAAAGCCCTCGTCGCTTGTCCTTGGGCCTGCAATCTACACTGAAAGGGTAGGGTTTAGGATTCGGGCTTCGCTCCTCAATAGTGTTTGGAGTTCTATAGGGCCTGTGGTGCTTGGGGGGTTTAGACTTAATCTCAAGTTGCAAAAGTTCATCTTTGAAGGCTTCTGGGCGACCTACCTGTTAGTCGATCTTGGGTCGATTGAGGGCTTCAGGCTTCGAGTTTCACTCAACCCTAAACCCTAAAGTCAGTCGGAAGGCCATGGTCCATTTCGAGTCCTTACATTTATGCCTGGAGCCTGTGAGTTGCAGTAGCTTAAGCACCACCCCAGTTTTGAGCAACCAGGAACCCAGGTCGTGGACCCAAAACACCCCCCTTAACCCTAAACCCCAAGCCCCTGAACCCTAAACCCCTAAACCCTAAACCCCTAAACCCCTAAACCCCTAAACCCCTAAACCCCTAAACCCTAAACCCCTAAACCCTAAACCCTAAACACCCCATAACCTTGCGTTGCGGAAACGCAAGTGTCACCTACCGATGCAAGGGCAATCAAGACCTCTGCCTGAAGGCCCGTTTGTTGACCTAGACAAGGTTTACAGGGTTTTAGCGTTGCGGAGTCCAGAGCTTTGAGTTCACAGACGCAAGGTTTAGGACATTCAAGGTTCACAGATCTCGCTACATCCTATCAAAACGTCCTCCTCACCACCCGAGAAGGGCACAATTCAGGAGTTCATCTTGTCGGCTACTGTTAATTTGAAAACATGGCATCTAGTTCAGGGTTTAGAGTCAAAGTGACGCAAGGAGAATCCTGCATTTTGGATGTAGGTTTATAGCGGGCTGAATTTGATGCTCGCCTGGCTTAGCCAGCAGTCCCGGAACACAGAAGCTAGAAAAGAAAGACGAAAAACAGATGTGAGGCACAGCACTAAAACCCCGAAACCTCAATGAAAGCCCGTATGCACATCTTAAGCCCCAAAGCCTTGAACCCCACCCTAAACCCTCCAGCCCGGCAGCCTCTTGCAAGCTGGGCCTTGGTCCTGAACCCCACTCCGCTCTGAAGTGTACACCCTGCAGCATGAAAACCTGGAGACCTGCAACCCCCGAAGCCCTGAGATCCTCAACCGACTAAGGCATCACCCCAAACCCGAAACCCCTAAACC